TTCATTGTACTTTCTAAAGTGAAATTCGGAGTGAACATTTGATAGTATCAATAAATAGTTTGGGGAAAGGCTGGCGTTTGGGAAGAATAATATAAAATGAATTAAAGTTAGGTTTGATGTAAAAGTATGAGAGAAATGATATGAAATGATGGTTAGTTAAAAATTTTAAATTACGTATGAGTGGATGAATAGTGAATTAAAGTTGATGTGAAGTGTAAAAATAATTAATTGATTGTTATTATTTAATTATATTAATATATTGAAACAGTGAGTGGATGAGTTGAGTTAAAGTTAATTTAAATTTTGAGTTTGAATTGATTTGGATTGATATATTTGGTTTACAAACACACCCTTGATAGTCATTTTGGCACAAGAAATGATCAAAATACCCTACACCATTTTCATCAGTGCAATTCTATGAATTAGAATTTATTTATAATTCTTTAAAAAGATATCTCCAATTTCATAATTTTTTTTTATGGAATTCCATTTAGAACACTTAAATAATATCTTGAATTCGAGTTTTTTCGATTCTATGGCAGCAAGAGTAAACGTGTTATTTCACAAGTGAAAATGACTATTATTTGTACTTTCATATATAGCGATTATATTTTTGGATTCACTACAACCCCTTCACAGAATAATGTCGTACTTATAATTAGCCTTTAAATACACGTGTAGATTAGTGTTCGGTAGATAATTCATGAGTTAAAATATTTTTCTTTATTTTCATTAGCTACGTTGTTGTAAAACCAAGACAATGCTTTTCATATTAGGCAACGGGCATGTTTCTAATTGGTATTCTTCCTTTCAACTACGACTCTAATAGCAACGTTGTTCCAAAAAGAACATACAATTTTGTTTTGTTGGGTAAGAAATTTGGGTGACTTCAATCCATCGACAGCTCAAACTTTTGACAACAATTGTTTGGCAAGTTCACGTGTTCATATATTACTGCACAGCCTGTTCATGTAAGAATTCAATTTCACTCGCATAGGCCGATCATATTCAAGTTGGTGATATCTATATATTTATAATTGCTATAGTTTTCCCTTCAAAAGACGTTACAAATTTTTTTATTTGTATATATCTATTTCAATATAATCTCAGGCTGTTAAATTCTGCAAATGACAAAATTTTACCTTTCAAATTTTTAATTGTTTATGGTAAAACCGTTACATGTTATATTAATTAAGTGTAATCATATATTTTATTATTTATTCTATCATATAATATTTATTAGTATAATCATCATGATAATTATTCCAAAAGTAATATTAGTTTTTTAATTAACTTAGTGCCATTAATAAATTCCTTAAACAATTTCTATAATAATAATAATAATAATAATAATAATAATAATATGTATTTGTTGTTTTAATATTTTTATTGGTAATTAATTGGTCATGATGCCAGAAAGTAACAGAAAATATGTTATAAATAAATAATTTTTATTTATATTGTTCATTTATTAATGATCAAATTTACAAAATTTGATTTATTAAATATATAGTTTATAATTTTAATGTTATGTACTTATATATTTTATAATGCTTTATAATTTATATCTGTGCATGTGCACATGATGAACTACTAGTTTTCGTTATGGTCGGCGAGCCAAAACACTTGGATTTAATTCCATTCTTTTGTTCCTTGAACAAAAGAAAGCCAAAAAGGGGGAGAACGGCCAACCAACAGCATAACGTGTATAAACCATGGAAAAAATTCTTAAAGCATAATGTAAGGTGTAAACCAACCCAACAGCCAACAGGTGCAGCTTTGATTAGTGCTGTCACATAACTTTGACTGATAAATTTGTGTTAATCCTATAAAATGTTATATATTGGACCGAGTTCTGTAGATAGTGCACCAATTGGGTCCTGTTCATTTTGCTGCACCTTTGGATGTCAATTTCTGGTAGGCCTTTTTCCACTTTGAAAGAAAAGATGAAACAATGATTGTATTGATGTGTTCTTTTTGAAGCAGCTTCGAGAAGCATACGAATGGTGAGTGCACTGGAGCGGGCTCCACTCCAGGATGGGTACGTCTCATACCCATGGGAACGTAAGATGCACGAGATGCTTGCCATTCCCAGCTCAAGCAGCTTCTACTCCGTCCTCTTCCTCCCCAAGTCCTCCGACAAGGCTGGGACCCGCTACAACGACCTCGAGGACACACTTGCGCGTGCCCATGCCTGGATCAACGCGTCCCAGGAATCGGGAGCACCAGTCGTCTTCATGAGCGTTCAGACCGAGTCTCTGCTTACCAAGGTTAGTTAAATCAACCAAATGCTTAATTCTAGCCAAAATGCACCTTTGAGGCTTGAACCAACTACAAAACAGAACTTCAAGATTTATCAATGTCTCATAGATATCCGGAGAAACGGCCTCGTCCACGGTTAATGCAGGGTCATTGGCGGACTTGTCCAACATCGCAAACACGAGCTTGTATGGTTTTGAAGACTACCATGGTGTCGACATTGGAGTCGTGAGAGCTGTTCGCCTCTGGTTCTCGCCTCTCGCGGGTGAGATCCCCATTCAGATCAGCATCAAAGACTCTGATACAAAGCTCGGCTTCGCAATCAGCCGAACAGCAGAGGTACGTTTTTTTAGAAATGTAGAAAAGATGAAAAACAAGAAAAATTCTAATGTACATTTTCACGAAAACAGGGATTCATCCACATATCGTCTGTCACGAGAGGGGCCGTGGATGGGCCATCAGCCCGTTCGGGCCTGAGCCACTTGCATGAGCAGGCGACGCGAAGCTCGCGCCTGCTGATAGTGTCCCGGATAGCAAACCAGAAGGTGCTCCCGTGGATGGTCTCCACAACGGGCGCAATCAGGTGTTTCGACACGGTCTCCCTCAGCCAGAAGCTTTCGTTGCACCGCCACACGCGGGTCCCAGTCATCCTCCATGTTTTTCTCTGGGACAGGAACGTGAGCCTCGCAGCAGATGCCGACCGCGGCCTTGGAGCCCGGCCCACTTCAAGAGATGATGTTGGTTTGGAAACAGATACGAATGGAAGCCTGGAGAGTCGGGAGATGGAGGGGGACTCGTCGATCGAGAGCCGGGACAGTGATAGTGGAATGGAGCTTAGGTTAGATAGGGACACGGCTGGGGAATTTTCCTTCCGTTTTCGTGATTTTGCCATTAAAAATAACTGGGTGTGATTTAGTTATTAGTATTATTATTATTTAATTTTTCCTGTGATTTTTAGGGGGTATTGATCAATTTGTATTGGAACTTTTTTATGTGTATATCAGTATATGAGAGGGAGTTGTGGTAACTCTGCTGTTTTTGTTGAATACAACAGAAGTAGTTGTGGTTTTTGGGTCTTGAATGTTGTTGCATTTGTTCAAATTGTGACTTGTACAAGGGTCGAATAATAATTTAGTTTTTACAAGCAAGCTCGTTCTCATGACCCGCTCAAGTAGAAGACCGAGTGCCGCATGGAGGGTCACGTAGCGCTGGTCTCTACGGCCATCAAGGAGGTTACAAGAGGTCTCTAGATCAGCTTGGGGCTGTCTGGGATGTTTCGTATGCGTTGGAGGCACCTTGGGACAAGCAAACACGTTGTAGAACTACCCGGAAGGGCCCAAATGCACGTAGTGCACTCTGGATGTGCCGGGAGCATTCCGGAAGTGTTGGGGACATTCCGGGCGTGTGGAGGGCATTTCGGAAAGGTGGAGAGTGTCCCGGAGGTGTGCAGATGTGTCTGGAAGCGTGTAGAACGTTGCAGAGCCTTGGAGAATACATTCTAGAGCCTTGTGGAACAATTCGGAAGCTTGTAGAAATTTTCAGAAGCTTGGATAACGTCCCGAAACATTGTGGAATGTTCCGGAAGCTTCAAGAACGACCTGGAATAATGGAAAACTCCGGAACCATGTGGAAGGATCTAGAAGCATGTGGAACCTTTGGGAGTAATGTGGAGTCTTTTAGAACCTTCTCAAGTATTATAGAGAATTCTAGTAGGGGCATGAACATACTAGAACCTTGTAGTAGGAACATGTGTGTATGACGTAGAAATTTTGTAGAAGGGTCTAGAACACCAATACCTTGTATGATCTAGAGAGTTCTTTAGAGGAGGTGATGCCTATAAAAAGGTGAAACCCCTTCGTTTGCAAACCATCCAAGTAACAACCAAGCTCTCTTGTACCAAGTTTGTGTGAATAGTAGTAGAAGCATTTTCCCTTCAACTTTCTTTCCCACATTCTCTAACCAAAGCACTCGAACACAACGAGCACGATCCGGCACGGTGAGGCTGACTAAGCTAGTTTGGGAAGGGCCAACGAGGGGCTTAGGCCACACGCATCTATCAAGAAAATAAGGGTGTGACAAGTGGTATCAAAGCCACGCTCAGTACTGTGTAGAGTATGGTCGAAGACAAGGAACACGAGGCATCTGGTCGAGTGTATCTGAAGAGCAAACCTGGGTGCGGGAGCACACCACCACGACCAAAGAAAAGAGGTGCCGGGATCAAAGTCGAGCTCGCGTAGAGGTTTCGGCACTGGATCAAGCTGTTGGGGAAAGGAGGAGAAGCTCGAACGGGTCGAGTTTAACTTCCAGACGTTGGAGACGCACGTCTTGGAAGAAATGGATTCCATGAAGCCCACAATCCAGGAGGGACTGAAGCGGCGCCCGTTGGCAGAGGATCGTTTGGATCACCTGGAGGACTTTGTCAAGGGTCAATTGGTGGACCTTGTGACGGGCCTCCAAGCAAGCATCGAGGGGATGCGCGAGGACCTTGCAGTGTGCAAGCGGGTGATCGCTAGTAGAGAGGCTAGTCACCTGATGTCCTCTCCAAAGGTGGAGTGCCCGAAGCCAACCGGGTACAATGGTGTGATGGACGCCAAGGAAGTGGACAACTTTTTATGGAGCATGCAACAATATTTCGAAGGCATCAGACTCAAGGATGAGTCTACTAAGGTATGTATCGATGTTCTTTACCTTTCCGATACCGCAATATTGTGGTGGCGTCGGAAGCATGCCGATATCGGTAGGGGCGTTTGTCGGATTGAGTCATGGGATGACTTCACGAGGGAGCTCAAGAGAAAATTTTAACCTGAAAATGTGGTGTACCAAGCCCGCAAGAATCTTAGGGAGTTGAGGCAACGAGGCACAATTAGTGAGTATGTGGAGCAATATACAACCTTGATGCTTTTTATCCCAACCTTGACCGAAGAAGACAAGTTGCTCTATTTCATAGACGGTCTACAAACATGGGCAAAATAAGAATTTCAACATAGGGAAGTGAAAACGGTTGATAGGGCCATCGGCGCAGCTGAGCCCCTTAACGAGTTTCACCAGCGCGCTTGAGAGGGGTTGTCGAGGCACAAGGGCAACTCATACCAGCAGGAGCAAGAGAGCGGACACTGCGAAGCCATAAACCAAAGGAGGCCGGCGGCTCGACGTGAAGGCAGGGGGTGCCGATTTTATGAGGAGAAAAAACAAAACTTTATGCCTAAGTCAGAATGCTTTGTGTGCAATGGGCCGCAGATGAGGGACTGCCCGAAGTTAGGCTCATTGAGTGCTATCACCGAGGTACAAGTGGAGGACAAAGAGAAGGTCTAGAAGATGGGGGCTCTTCAACTCAACACTGTCGTGGAAGGCAAGTCAAGCGGGGAGGGACCGTACGAAGGTCGTCTGATGGTCGTCGAGGGACACATCAACAGTAAGCCATTCAAGGCCTTGGTGGACACAGAGGCAAGTCATATTTTTATAACCGAGATTAAAGTTCAACGACTGGGCATCCGCTTCTCGAATGGAGAGAGATGGATGAAGTCGAACAATGCAAAGGTCGTACGGGTGACAGACGTCGCCAATGGAGTACGAATTCACTTAGTCACGTGGGAGGGACACGTACTACGATGGATGACTGGGACATCATCTTGGGGATGAATTTCTTTGTAGACAATCGCATGTTCCCGGTGCCGCATTTGAGGACACTTCGTGCGCTTCAAGGGAAGAAGGCATTAGATACCGATAACGGAGTCCGGTTCGGGTAAGTATTTCATGGGACTTAAGTATCGCAAGAAGTTACCCTCGAAGCCATTGAATTCATCGAAAAAGCAAGTGGAAGGATGGATCTAGGGCGTCGCCGAAATAGGCTGGGGAGTATGTCACAACCCGCTCAAGTAGAAGACCGAGTGCCGCATGGAGGGTCACGTAGCACCGGTCTCTACGGCCATCAAGGAGGTTACAAGAGGCCTTTGAATCAGCTTGGGGCTGTCCGGGATGTTTTGTATGCGTTGGAGGCACCTTGGGACAAGCAAACACGATATAGAACTACCCGGAAGGTCCCGAATGCGCATAGTGCACTCCGGATGCTCCGGGAGCATTCTAGAAGTGTTGGGGACATTCCGAGCGCGTGGAAAGCATTCCGAAAAGGTAGAGAGTGTCTCGAAGGTGTGAAGAAGTGTTGGGAAACGTGTAGAACGTTCCAGAACCTTGGAGAACATTCTAGAGCCTTTTGGCATAATCCGAAAGCTTTTAGAAGTTTCCAGAAGCTTGGAGAACGTCTCAGAACATTGTGGAATGTTCTGGAAGCTTCAAGAATGACCTGTAATAATGGAGAACGTTCTGAAACCATGTGGAAGGATCTAGAAGCATGTGGAACCTTTGGGAGAAATGTGAAGTCTTCTAGAACCTTCTCAAGTATTGTAGAGAATTCTAGTAGGGGCATGTACATACTAAAACCTTCTGGTAGGAACATGTGTGTATGAAGTAGGAATTTTGTAGAAGGGTCTAGAGCACTCAATACCTTGTAGAATGTAGAGAGTTATTTAGAGGAGGTGGTGCCTATAAATAGGTGAGGCCCCCTTATTTTCAAACCACCCAAGCAACAACCAAGCTCTCTTGTACCAAGTTTGTGTAAATAGTAATACAACCATTTTCCCTTCAACTCTCTTTCCCACATTCTCTAGCCAAGCACTCGCACACACCGAGCACGATCCGACAAGGTGAGGCAGACTAAGATAGTTTGCGAAGGGGGCAATGACCGCGCGTCGCAACGCGGCAAATTTATATTTATAAAATTTTCCTCAACTTACCCCTACCAACAAGTAGTAGTGATGAGCAAGGGTCGATCCCACAGGAGTGTGGTATAAACCGTGATTTTATTATATTAATTAGATGAAAATAAAAGGGGGGAATTTTTATTTAGAACGAAACTACTAGCAAAACGAGAAAATAAACTAGAACTAGAAATAAATGATTAAAGTGCAAACGATGATGAAACCGAAAAT